GGTTCTAATCGTGAGATCATAAATTACTCGAGACCGAAGTGGTGGATAAATCGGTTTGTATTTTGGGAAATTAATCATCGCTCGGTTGGCTTGCACATGGTTTGGAAGATTGCCTACCTCATTAATGGTTCTGCTCTCTACGATATTGGCACTGCAAGAGTTGCTAGTCTGCGAAGCTATTGGATTATTCGGAAGGAAATCACCAGGTTGCAAATCATTTTCGGACGGCTGAATTTTTCGTGGGGCTCTATCATTAGAGTCGTTGCCTCCGAATATATTGTGGTCCTTTGGCCGACATATTTGTGCCTTCATCACAAAATGTATATATATATATACTTTGCTGGCGTTTTTGTTGTAACGCTGTGAAAATAATAACGGGTCAACGGACCTAAGAGCAGTATATTCCTGAGCAGAAGAGGAAAATGAGGCAAACACGCGAACGATCGGAGAAGCTGGGACGTCAATGCGTTGCCAGCGGTTGGAGGACGATTGAAAGCGAGAATTACAAGATCAGGGCAAGTGGAGATTATTGATCGGGGCAGGTTTAAAAAGACAGTCAGCTTCGGGCGACGCGCCGCAGACGGCGGGCTGAGGGCGGTGGGCAGAAAGGGAGGCAGATTCTCGGGCAAACCGGTCGATGCAACGGTCGGACCAGCCGGCCAGCCGAACAGGAAAGTCGTGCCCCAATCCGCCGACACACCAGCCAGACAGACTTTGTCGCCTCATGAGTGGTCCTTCGGCTTGTCTATCTGTTTGCCTGTCTCGAGTGGGCAGCAAAGACTGTTTCAAGTGGGATGTGGGCGTATCAAGCGAATGAATGTGCGAGCGCGAGAAGGCGAGCCAAAGACTGACCGAGCCCAAGGGCCAGGAGGCCAAGACGAGTCGATATGCCGGGCAGTGCAGACACCGGTAGAAGCTGAGGCGGCAAAAGGGCACGCTCACTCGCGTCGACATCCGAACGCTCCTCATCTCGAATCTGGCCTAATGCATTTGTGCACCTGATGCACTCTACACAGCTCGAGCCTCAACTCTGCACACACTCACATTCAAGCGAATGCTACCAGCGCACAACCAAATGGCATGCAAATGCACCAGTCTAGACGCCACCCATTCGACTTGTCAACCCAGAGTGGCGCTAAACTCAAGTGTTACCACTCAGACGCCTTTCGTCACTGCTTCAATCCGGCATGACGCAACGTAAAACAAAACAGAAAAGCCCTCAAGCATAGTCTGCCTTTATGATGGACTATGTTACTCATGCACTATGCGAGTAGTCTTCGGGAATATTGCCAAATCCTGGTTGGGACTAGTCAATCTTGGTCATTTAAGATATTGTAAAGAGGAATTGATTTATCTATAATTTGGAAAACCTGTATTTTGCACTACTATAGACTACTTTTCTTGCAAGCGAGCTAGTAGTATTCGAGAGTATCACTAAATCTCAATTCGAGAGTTACTCGTCCGGCATGGACTTCTGCTTGGACTAGCCTTGGGCGCATCCTCACAACAGTCATTTGTATTTGAATTTAGAGTTTTCCAAACACTCATGCGCCTTCGGCATCTCCGAAATCGGCTTTTTTTAATTGTACCGCAAGCGTACTCGATGAGTAATGAAGATATTAAAAACGACCTGACAATAGTGAACAAGCATGGAATTAACTACATAGGCCTGTCGAATAAATGAATAAGTTGCATGTGAAAGACGAG